ATATATATATATATATATATATATATATATATATATATAATTTACCAAACTGTGGCAGGCCAGGACTCGACCCTACGAACCTTATACCGCCTCCAGAGACAGCACAATGTACACATTGCCCTACCACTTGAGCCAGCGATCCTACAAGAACCAAGCACACAGCACATAGCTATGTGTTTTCTGTCTTAGCCCGAGGACACTCGTGGCAGTGGTATCTCAAGGATACCATTGTGATTTAAAATCACTTGTTTCGTGATTTCATTACTATATAGACTGCTTGTTGAGGCGGGTATTCAAACAGGATGAGGCTGAAATTAATCCTTGAGATACCACTGCCACGAGTGTCCTCGGGCCAGGACAGAAAACACATAGCTATGTGCGGTGTGCTTGGTTCTTGTAATAATAATAATAATAATAATAATAATAATAATAATAATCTTTATTTACTACAAGTACATGTACATGGTATACAGTCCTAGCTGACAACAATGACATACTACTACATAGAAAGCCACTTGCTATGCTGAGCATCTCGGGCAAATTAGGTCAGTGTCCCGGGATGCGACCCACACCAGTCGACTAACAACCAGGTACCCATTTTACTGATGGGGAACATAGACAACAGGTGGAAAGAAACACGCCCAATGTTTCTACTCTGGCTGGGAATCGAACCCAGGCCCTCGCCGTGTGAAGCGAGAGCGTTAACCATCAGGCCACCCGTGGCTCAAGTGGTAAGGAGATGCGTACATTGTGCTGTCTTTGGAGGCGGTATAAGGTTCGAAGGGTCGAGTCCTGGCCTGCCGCAGTTTGGTGAATGATTTAAAAATCACTTGTTTCGTGATTTTATTGATACACACACACACACACACACACACACATATATATATATATATATATATATATATATATATATATATATATATATATATATATATACATATATATATATATATATATATATATATATATACATACATATATATATATATATATATATATATATATATATATATATATATATATATATATATATATATATATATATATATATATATATATATATATATATATATATATATATATGCAATAAGATCACAGTAAACAGGTGATTTCAAAATATGCAAAACAGCCACTCTGAAGGAATAGAGAAATTCCAAGCGCTTTTGTGACTACTCACATTATCAAGGAACTATGAAAACACATAGTTCCTTGATAATGTGAGTAGTCACGAAAGCGCTTGGAATTTCTCTATTCTTTCAGAGTGGTTGTTTTGCATAATATATATATATATATATATATATATATATATATATATATATATATATATATATATATATATATATATAGTGTTGTCATGACAGCGTCATATAGAGCGTTGTCTGAACATTGCATGACGGATATGACAGGAGTACCTGGTACCTGGAGGAAACTAAGTTGAGAAACTTTAAATTGAATGTCCCCGAACTTGGTAATTAACATGTATACGGCATCACAAGTTGGAACACAGGACTACTGCAGGCAATAGAGGCTAGTAATCAAGCATAATCCAATGTGCCTAACGTCCTTAACGTGATTCTGAGTGTCATTCTGGGTAGTGTTGTAAGCAACGATAAGGAACTCTGAGAAGTAGCACTGACAAGTAACACTTAGACGCAGCACTAACAACACGATCACAGTAAACAAGTCATATCACAATATGAAGAACAACCATTGTGAAAAATAGTGAAATTTCAATCGCTTTCGTGATTTTTCACGTTGTTTCGGTTGCAAGTCAGAGAACTTTTCTGCTGTGTGATGTGTGCAGGTAAGAAGGGATTTTTTTCAGTGACACGAAATAAGTGAGTAATACGGCAGTGCATGTCCACTGTATTTTATGAATAAGTAAGTCTATTTAGGGTCCTCAGTGCAGGGTCAATCCTCTTTCCGTGTGGGTCACCAGGCCTGGTGGAGACTCGATCCTCTGTCCTCTTATCCCAGACCTGTCTCTGCCCACACATGCTTCTGGTTATCGCACGCTACAACACAACATAAACCTCACATTAAACTGCCAATAAAAGATGAATAAATGAACGACAAATCATTATTTTTAAGTCACAAAAATTCGCTCGGCACATAACCTGTCAGCTAAAACAGAATTCAACGACATTCATAAATTGACACAAGAGTGTGTATACTACAAAAAATATCGTTATCGTAATCAACATTTATTAATGAGAAAATACGTTAATACAGAGGCATGGAAAGAGCAGTAACGCTAAATTAATTTGAATATGCGTAGATTTTTGAAGGCTAATCTCACAGTCACGGGGGACGAGAGACAGAGGCAGGCGAGGATGTGGTACCTTAGGCTATATTTGCTGTTATATGTTGAACGGGACATATAGTGTATGTTTATGGTACATGTTAATGGTACATGCTTATGCTACATGTTAATGGTACACATTAATTGTGTATGTTCAAATGGCGCAGGTTAATGGTAAGTATTTATGTGACTGTCAGACAGGAAACGCTCAATGTTAAGTGGGTAACGATAGAGGTTTAGTGTTAAACAGCGTGTTTAAAGATTTGAAGTGAAAGTCGGAGAGGAGAGTGTAGACGACGTTTCGATCGTCCTGGACTGTTTTGGAAGGGAAGAGAGTGTGTGCATAGCGCACCTTCATTTAATCGGTGAGCAGTGAGCTGTTGTTGTAGCTGTTGTTGTGGTTGGTTGCTAATGTTGTGGTTATTGTTGATATAACTGTTGTTATTGCTGTTGTTTTTATCGTTGTTGCTGTTGGAGTATAGGGGCTACGATGGCTTGTGTCGTACACGCCGTTACTCCAGCTCACAGATTCCAGAATCTCACTGTATTGTATCTCATCTCAAATCTCAATCAAATTCTACTACACGCCAAGGCTTTACGACGAGCACAATCACGAGTACACCCCTCACACACGCTATTCTACGCAGAAGCGTAATAACGGAAAGGGGAAGGTAAGGTCACTTACAGACTCTTCAGCATCTGCCTTGCCGTGGTTCAGTGTCCGCCTGGAGGCTACAGTGACCAGCCCTGCTGACCATACTACATAAACCAGGTGAGGAGGGTTGCCTAGGTCTTGTAGTCGACCACTTCCCCTGTCTCATGTTTTTTCCAGGTTCCAAGGGCACCCACAACCTGATCGATGAGGTCAGCAACCAGGCGGCCTGGTCTGGGACCGGGCTGCGGAAGTGGTGACTTTCCGAAGCGACAACAGGTAACCCACAGATGACAGAGGCAGAGTTCCTCTCAGGAAGGACATAGGGAAGTGCTGGTAAAGAAAGAGAAACAGCTTTCACTTGGGCACGTATCGCTGTGTAGAGCTCTGTTTTGGTATATGGCTTTATAAAGCTCTACACAGACAGAAATAATAATAATAATAATAATTAAATAATTATAATAATAAACATAAAAATAATAATAATAATAATAATAATAATAATAATAATAATGATAATAATGATAATAATAATAATAATAATAATAATAATAATAATAATATAATAATAAAATAATAATTATGATAATAATAATAATAATAATAATAATAATAATAATAATAATAATAATAATAATAATAATAATAATAATAATAATAATAATAACAATAATAATAATGATAATAATAATAATAATAATAATAATAATAATAATAATAATAATAATAATAATAATAATAATGATAATAATAGAAATATTATAATTATTATTATTATTATTATCATCATTCTCACCAATCCTTCTGAGTACAGACACTGTACTTCCCACCACCAAAGATCAGCTTCGAGTAACAGGTTTCCAAAATTATTAGGTAGAAATTTTGGTTGAATGCAACAAGGAGAGGATTTTACTCACTAGCAGAAATAGTAGTCTGACAGCGGAAATTACTCTTGAAAAATACGAGCAGAGAAGACAGAAATATATCCCACCTCAGCATCAGAACAATATATAATATATATATATATATATATATATATATATATATATATATATATATATATATATATATATATATACATATATATATATATATATATATATATATATATATATATATATATATATATATATATTATATATATATATATATATATATATATATATATATATATATATATATATATATATATATATATATATATATATATATATATATTATATATATATGTAGTCCTCTAATAAAACTGTTAACACTTTTAGCCTTCAAAGGCCGTTTCATTAGCCCTTATTTATAGCTTTCCTAGAATGAATCTTAGTCCTGGTTTTACTCTTGCAGATTTCTAACTTAGTCAGTAAACTGTCAAATGTTCCTATCTTGACAACACTTGTGACTTGACCTGACTTATGCCTCCTCTTTCTTCTCCTGTTTCCTTTTAGTCTGTCTTCTACGTTTCATTTTCCCTTCCTGTCTTTAAATTTTCATCTCTCTAACTTCCTACTGTTTCTTTG